TACACCAGCGTGAGAAATAAAGGGTTCAGTTCGACATTCCAACCACCTGAAGATGGCCGGAGCGTACAACAGCCGAAACACAGTGATAAATATGACAACAAAGATTCGGACAATAATAAATAACGTTTTCCAAAGTAATTTTCGCCGAATAATCTCGGATGACACTCAATGGACCTGATGGCTAGGCGAAAGAATGGATTTTTATCTGATGCAGATGTGTATATCGCTAAAAGAAGGCAGCAAGAAACAGCAATGTGATACTATGGGCTGGAAATGTCGACCAAACCATGATTGGATCACTCAAAGTTGATGAACGATTTAAACTGAAAAAGGCTAACTATTATGATTTACTGGACAATGCTTTCTTAAAATGGTGCAATATCAAACCACGCAATTTCAAATTGAAGGGTGCATTTATGCACGACAATTCTTTTCATGTATCTAAAGTTACCTGTGATTTTTTTTTTTTTTTTTGAGTGGAAAAATGTTTACAGGGGAAAAGATAACGGCATGATTACCGTCAAGTCCAGATTTGAATCCGATCGAAAATATATGGTCAATTGTGACAATGAAATTATATGGAAGTGACAAAAAATAAAACAAGCCTATGTGAAGCAATAAAAACCACCATGTCGGAAATTGAACCTGATGAAGTGAAAGATTTAACAAAGAGGAAAATAAAATGAATAATAATCTGCTATTGAGAAAAAGTTTCACTATATTAAGATGTAAATATTTCAACCACTTATCATATATGTTTATTATTTGTTCTATTGTAGATGTTAATTAATTGTTCATGATTTTATTACCTTACTATTGAAGTAAATTATTTTCTGGTTTTGCATAAGTTCAAGGTGTCTTTGTTTTTAATAATTCCAATATTTTTTTTTTGTATTTACTTGTAGCATGGTCTTCTAGGGATCACTTCAGTAAGTCTATCAAAAAATGTTTTAAAATCAAACCCAGAATTATTGTGGCTTCATGCACCATATTTTTTAAATTTCCAATTCAAGATCTTTGTTTTTTGTAAGATCTTTAAATATCAAAGACCTAGCAGTCTGTAGAAATTGCCATGTCAATATGAAAGCACATTCATTTTTTTTTTTTTTTTTTTTTTTTTTGTAATCTTTGATTCAAATGTCTTAATGATTAGATAGTTATTATTAATATTATTATATTTCGATTTCTGCAATGGTCACAGTACCTACCAAGTCTGGGGTAAGAACTAAGACAAGCAGTGGTGTGTTGTTATAGCTACATTTCATGATTTGCTTTTCCAAATTCCTTAACATCACTAGCGTTACATGGGCAAAGTTCTTCTTAGTTTGTGGGCTGTATTTATCAAGACATTTTTTATATTTCCTTTAGTTTGGGATTTTCATGGATTTTTCAATGGGTTGTTGTGTTCCTTTTTTATCGTTCCAAGCGCACCTACAATAACTGTTACTATTCTTGTTGTCAATTTCCACATTTATTTTATTTCGGTTTCCAGGTTTTTCTGATTCAACAGTTTTTCAAATTCCTTGATTGCTATGTTAAAGTTCGCTAGGCAAGCCATATTAATTAGAAGGCGAGTTTTTCCTTTTTGTTTTTTGACAATTATGTCTGACCTCTTTGCTTCAATCTTCCTGTCGGTAAAGATGGTGTAATCCTATAAAATTGTGATGTCTTCTATTTCTGTAACTGCTGCTGGGAGATGTTCATACCAGTGTTTATTAAAACCTTTTCCAAAATGTTTGCACATATCATGATTATTATTATTATTTTTATTTTCTTTGATTTCTGGCGTTTACACATTTCTTTTCGGGTCCCGCCCAGGGACCTAAGTTTAGAAATGGCATAATGACACTTTCTACTGACAAAAAAAAAAAAAAAATATTAAATAGATAGAGCCCTTCGTAAAGTGTGGGCTGTACTTGTCAGAACAATTTTTTGTATCTCCTTGAGGCATGGACTTCCAGGAATCCCTTCAATTAGTCTACTGCAATCTTTTCCAACCAGTCCTAGGGCTCCAACTATAACAGGGATTGTTGATGTTCCCATATGCCACATTTTCGAATTTCTATTTCAAGGTCCTTGTATTTTGACAACTTCTTGAATATCTTCAAAGATACATTGCTGTCAGCAGGGACTGCCATATCAATAAGGAGGCACTTTTTTGTTTGTGATCTTTAATAAAAAAATATCTGGGCTGTTGGCTTTGATTGTTCTGTCAGTGTGTATTAGGTAATCCCATAGAATTGTAACGGGTCCTATCTCCGTAACCGGGTCTGGGTGGTGTTCATACCAGTTTCTTTCAGTTTCCTTCCCGTAGAAGTTGCAGATTTTCCAGTGCAGATATTGGCCCACTCTGTCATGCCGGGTTTTATATTCAGTGGGTGCCAATATCGTGCAACCTGATACAAGATGATCAATCGTTTCTGGATATTTATCACAGAATCTGCATTTGGGGCTGACACAATATTTTATTATATGTGCTTGATAATTCCTAGTTAGCAAGCATTGGTCCTGTGCGGCAAGGATAAAACCTTCAGTTTCCGCTTTCAACTCTGCACTACGTAGCCACTGATGGGTACAGGTTTTGTCTACGTCAGCTTGTTTGGTACGGGCAGAGTATTGGCCATGAAGCGGTTTATCTTGCCATCGCTTCTGTATCTGGTCGGTTGCATTCGTCTTTGCTGTCTTTTTTAAGTATTTTGCAGTTTCAGCCGGTGTATTGTGCTGTAGTTGCATCTCTACGAATGTTCGGTTAGTGTTATTATTATTATTATTATTTTCTTTGATTTTTGGCGTTTACACATTTCTTTCCGGGTCCCGCCCAGGGACCTAAGGTTAGAAATGGCGTCATGACACTTTCCACTGACAGAAAAAAAAAAGAATTAAATTACATAGATAAAGCCCTTCGTAAGGTGTGGGGTGTACTTGTCAGAACAATTTTTTGTATCTCCTTGATGCATGGACTTCCAGGAATCCCTTCAATTAGTCTAATGCAATCTTTTCCAACCAGTCCTAGGGCTCCAACTACAACAGGGATTGTTGATGTTCCCATATGCCACATTTTTGAGATTTCTGTTTCAAGGTCCTTGTATTTTGACAACTTTTTGAATATCTTCAAAGATACATTGCAGTCAGCAGGGACTGCCATATCAATAAGGAGGCATCGTTTTTGTTTGTGGTCTTTAATAACAATATCTGGGCGGTTGGCTTTGATTGTTCTGTCAGTGTGTATTGTGTAGTCATATTATTATTTCCTTTGATTTCTTTTTATACACATTTTCTTCCGGGTCCCAACCGGAAACCTAAGATTAGAAATAGCATTATTACATCTTTCACTGAGCACTTTTGTAAAAAAAAAAAAACTGACAACGTAAGATCATGACCATTTTACATAGATATAGTCCTTTGTAAAGTGTGATCTGGTGAGAAGAGTTTTTTGTATTTCCTTAAGCTATAGGTATAACTTCCAATCAATCCCCAGTTACAACTGTAATTATGAATATCCTCAGGTGCTAGATTTTTAGGTATCCGCTCCAAGACTCTTGCATTTTGAAGAATTTCAAAGATATACTCCAGTCTACAGGAATTGTCATTTCAATAAGAGAGAGCACCTTCTGTTTTTGTGATTTTTGATCCCGATGTCTGGGCGATGAGCTTTGATTGTTCTGCCTGTGTGTGTATTGTAAAGTCCCATGATATTTTGACAGTTCCTTCCTCTGTAACCGAATCTGGCTGATGTTCCTACCAGTTTCTTGCAGTTCTCGTAAAAGCCGCATATTTTCCAATGTAGATATTGGTCCACTCTATCATGCCAGGTCTTATATGCTAACACCGTAAAACAAGATGGTCAATTGTTTCTGGATATTTATCTGCATTTCGACACAATATATACCAGGTTGCGAACTGATCAGATCAGAAAAATATATATACGGGCGAGTCTCATAATTTTTTCAGGTTTTTTTAAGCATTTTTAAGCATGCAGGGGGTTGCAGAAGATTTGAAGCGAGAGCAGATAGGAGTGATAGAAGAAAGGATGAGGAGAAGGATAGTGGGTAGATCAAGGTAACTGGAGGTGTCGATTGACACTACATTTGAATAGTTGGAGATTATAGCTTTCAGGGAAACAGTAATTGGGAAGGGTGTTCCACAGGCGAGAGGTGCGAGGTATGAAGCTATTGGAGTAGAAGAGACGGCTACATTTAAAAGTTTCTACAGTGTAAGGGTGAGAGCGGGATGCCAGCCTCGTAGGGCGCTTGAATTCATGAAGTCTGGGAACCAGTGAAAGCAGCTCATCGGAGCAATTACCATAGAAGTATTTGTAGAAAAGACAGAGAGAGGCGACGGCGCGTCTGTGAGAGAGTTTCTGTAGACGAGATGCCAGATCAGGGCCAATTATATTACATATCCGTCTCTGGATCGTGTCAAGAACTCCGAGGTAAACAGAAGGTGCCCCAGACCATATATGGCAGCAATACTCCATGCAAGGGCGTATGGTTGATTTGTATATTTGAAGTATCGGTTCCGGGGAGAAAAAATTTCCTGGCGCGGCACAGAGAGCCAACTTTCCTCGCGGTGGACGAAACAATTGATTCAATGTATTTGTTCCATCTCAGGTCAGCAGTCAACGTGAGACCGAGCAGACGCAGAGAGTTGCTCTCAGGAAGTTGACTATCAGACATTCTAATGGGGGGCAGGGAAGGATCTCTACAACCAACTGTCATCATTTTAGTGGAGGATACCGTAGTTTTTCTTTCAGGTAGACCGAACACTGTGTTAACCATATCCTTCTTTATGTGTCTTGTACCTTCTGGACGTGCGCAGTCATGACTCTCTACAAACTACTATTCTTTATCGTC